GGGGGGGGGGGGGGGGGGGGGGGGGGGGGGGGGGGAAGATCTGCCTGCTTGCCATCACAGCCAGATACCAGTATAGATACCCTCCCCAACTCCACAGTACCCCAGTAACAACAGGACAATCGTGTGAAATACAAAGATCAGAAAGCTGCAGCAACATTGTCCCCTTCTCCCATAAAACAGTGGAGGCTATGGGAGACAGAGGCAGCAGCTACAGCATAACAGTAAACGCAACACACAGTTGTGCATCCTGTATGTGATTCCCCTGCTGCCGCCCACAGGGTATGTCACTCACAGATGGGAATGTAAGAAAAAGGACAGCATACATGGATTTCTCCCCAGGCTCAAGGCTTTACAAGTCTGCGCAATAAATCTTGCGTATATGTGAGATATGTTGACAATCCTGCGGTGAGGGAGATAGGAATGGGTGGGTGGAGGAAGCAAGGTGGCCATAAAACTCAGCCTTGGCTTACCTTCAGGCCATGCTTTTCCACTAGAAGTAGTTCAACTTTTTCCTTCAGGAGAGCTGTGCAGCTGCCTTTCCAAGACAGAAGGGAGGTTAGGCAGTCAATGGACTGACACGGGGGCTCCTTCACCACTTTGCAGTCTGTCTTATGCTCTTTCCCAGGCACAGCGCTGTCTGGCCAAAGGAGAGGGAAAGGTCAGTGAGCCAGAGCTCCTGTTGGTCCCTTTCTGCAGGCTGTTGAGTGGAGCTTCTCCCCCCCCGCTTCTTCTTGCTGGCCTCTCCTGGTATTAGAGGAGTTTGTAATCCTGTGTCACGGACAAAGGAAGTCCTGCAAAAACATGAAGCAAAAACCAAGGTGGGTTTGGACAGCTACACAGTGGCTGCTGCCTTAAGCAGCTGGTTGCTGCCCTTCTCTTCCTTGCAAGCAGCTGTTATGGTGGCTGTCATGATGACCAGGAATTGTGCTGAAGGAGTAATCCACCTCCCTCGCTTCTGAGACAGTGGGATGACTCAGTGCCAAGATCAGTGGTTGGACTAGCTGATCTCCAAGGTCTTTTCCAACCCAGATGATTCTGTGATTCAGGGGGTTTCCATTCTCTGAGGACCTCCTGACCACGGTGGGCTCCAAATGTCTGCATGTGGTACCAGTGGAATGATGTGAATATCGTCGTTGCTTCTAGAGTCTGCAGCAACTCTCAGCCCTTTCCATCACTGTGGGCCAAGGGGTGTTCCCCCAGGGTATTTCACCCAGTCTCTAGTCCCCCCACTCTCAACTGGAGTTGCCTCGCTCCTTTCCTTTTTAAGCAACTGTTTGTAAAAGACTGATGGTGATTCAGCAGGACACTAATTTTCTGGTGGTCTTGCAGGCTCTAGAATCAGTGCCCCAGCATCAGAGGGGGAAGGGTTTTTATAGAGGAAACTTGTTAGCACCAGAGAGGAAAGAAGGACAATAACCTATTTGAGTCTGAGAACACTGGGGCAATCAGGGACTCGGCGTCTGCCAAAGCTTTTTCCATTTCACAAGTCACTGTCAGGGTGACTATTTAGTTCTACTGCAGTCCCAGCAAGAATCTGGGACACAGAGCAGTTTCACAGAACCTGAGTCATTGAGCACATGCAATTTACCAAGGCCTTGCTGGTTTTGCAAATTTGCAAGAAAATCTGCAAATTTTTTACAGTCTCTGAAGTTTTTTGCTTGCTATGGGGCAGTGGTGACTTGTTAGCATTAGCTTTTGCTGGACCCAAGGAGGGAACCTGTCACTTGAGAGCTCAGCGCCTGGCTGTCCCTGCAGGGCTCACTGCATGCAAGTGGGCTGGAATTTGGAGCAGTTATAAACACATTTCTGGCATTCTTGCAGTATGGGGGCCACCCCATTCAAGGGATACCAGATCAAACCTCTACTACATTTCATATCAAAAAGAAAGCATTGTTGCTTTTATACCTAGCTTTTCCTCAGGAAAGCTGACTCCTGGAATGGGTGTGTTCAACCTGAGATGCATCTGCTTGCAGGGAGCACGAATGCTCTAGCAGACCTACTCAGCTACTTCTGGATGGTCTAATGTGACCAGGAAGTACAGAACAGCATCCCCTGAGACATCTTTCATGTGGGATGAACATGTGCTCGCTTCACATCCTACTTCCTCTCTTCCCTACACCTGTGAAACTTAAACTTTCACACGTCAAAGCTCCACACCTGACCACATCCAGCCCACATTTGTTGCACAGGTACACGTGAACAGCACGTCCCAGGACTCTCCAGCAGTCACCTGTGCTTTGTAGTTTGGTGTGAACGCAATCCAGTTGCCTACAAAATATCTCTTTTTTTTTTTTTTTTTTTTTTTTTTTTTCTTTTTCTGGTATGTCCTGGGAAGCTGGCCCAGGCATGGGGTGACAGGGGACTGTCAGACAAGATCACTAGAGCCCTGCTCTGGAACCAGCACCACACATGGGGCACAGGTATCAGGTGGAGCCAACATACTTGGATGTCCACACCTGTGCAGTCTCTCCTGCTTCCAGCATCAGTGCTCCAGAGCAAAGGCCCACACTCACTTCTCATGGACGGGATGCAAAAAGGTTCATAAAACTTTCTGGCTCCTTCAGCAGGGAAGAAAGGGACCCATAAATAATGCATCAGCAAGTGCAAAATGCTGGGAAGGAAGAGAGGGAAGGAGGGAAAGACAAACAGGACAAATATCTGTACTGTGACTTTTGTTATCTCTGCAAAATACTTTTTTTTTCTAATTTTCTTTTCCTTAAAAAAAAAAACACACCAAAAAAACCAACCCAAAAGCAGGTAGCAGAACACTGCACATCAAGTTTTGACCCAATTGCTTTGTGCAACAGCACTAAAGAAAGGTAAGTTTGTCATTAAACTCACCCAGCGCACCCACTACTAATCCTGTAGCAGGGTACAGTCCCCCCATTCCTCTTCCCTGACAAACTTTCCTGATTAGTTTCTGTCTTCGCACCCAGGCTGACTTCCGCACCCTGATCTCCAAACAGTGACCTCATTGCCTTGTTCAACTGGTGAGAAACTACAGTAAAATGGGAGAGGTAAACAAAGAGGGGGGCGAACTAATGGCCAGAAGATTTAGGAGGTAGGAATCTGCTCCTTGCTGTCCCGCTTCCATTGTGCGCCTGAGCTTGAGAAAGTGCAAGCTGAGCCTTGACGAGCTCTTTTCTGTGCTGGTTCCTCTGGAAACTCAGCCCAGCTCGCCAGATGGTGACTCAGGACAACCATCCTGCAAGCTATATGCCCGCTACTACTAGACCCAGGCTCCTGTCACCTCTACAAATCCCGTAGAGTTAGTGCTGGAATTCACACACCTTCTGCAGCAAAAGCTCTTCATTCCCAGGCCAACCAGCTCACTAAAGCATAAATATTAAAAGCGAAAGCCGGTGTTGTCATAGAGCTGAATTTGTGTCAGCTTCGTGCAGCCAGTAGTCTGCCTACCACTAGCTGAGCTGTAGTTCACGCACATGCTGATTAGAGAAATAGCATTAACAGCAGCCTAGGAGGAATATCTTCAATATCACTATGCAATGCAGCCTTCAATAGCCTTGTTTGGGACGTGTTTCAAACTGTCACCCTGTTTCTGACCCTGACAGATACCTCCAGGTCCTGGCCAGCAGCAGCTCAACTCCCATTTGTCTTCCCAGACACTCAGTAAACACCTTTGTGTCCTTTTTCTTTAGAGGAAGGGGTCTCGCTGAGCTCACCCTGAAATATATCACCCTGGACAAAAGGGCTGAAAGGTTAAGGAGCTCTAGGGGGTAGTTCAGCAGAGAGCTGGGGGCCCGGCACCTGCCAGAACCAAAGCTATAAAGGCAAAGAGGGGTGAGGGACGGATGCTGCAGGTCCTGCCTCACCTCCCACGAGCCCTGGGATAAGAAGATGCTGGGGCTCCAGTCGTGGCCTTGCTCGCTTTTCCTCCTCTTAGTTCTGCTCTCTGCCAGCGCTCGGACTGTGTCCTTACCAGGACAGAGGCTACAGGTAGGAGGGACTGGGAGAGAGCTGAGGGAGGTTTCAGGAGTGGAGGGGCAATTTGGGGAGGTTGTGTTTGAACCTGGAATGAGTGGTGGTCCCAAATTCCAGCTACCGGAGGCTGCTGTCTGTTCTCACTGCTCACTCCCCTTCAGTCCAACAGCCTCCGCTCTAGAGTGACTGTATCTTTATAACCCAGCCCCCAAGGAGCACTGGCATTACAAGACAGCAGATAGACAAAAGCCTTTCAGTGCTCTCTGTTCTGGGGCAGGCTGCCTGTGGGACTCCCCACATTGCCTGCAGGGGCTTTTAATGGTAAAGAGATTGGTCCTGTCTAACTCCGCCTTGGGTCAGCAGCCACCAGAAATTACAGTCGTGTCCCTCATCATGTTCAGTGCCTGGTTCTGATGTTTCAGAAGGAAGGCACTTGCCAGCTAAGGGCTACTTCACTTAAGTAAATCTTTTATCTTCAGCAACTACAGCAATAATACTTTCGGCTTTCAAATCTACCCACCTCCCTCTTACCTGAGCCCTAACACCTTGCCTTCACGTCACCCTAAGAAAGCCACAGAGAAGTAGTTAGGACGTGAACTAAAAATCACAAGACTGATCCTGCTATGACTCACCGCTTTCACTCCTCATTGAAGATGCCCGTGTCCGCTTCAGTTAACCTGCTACCGAAAAGAGCTGCACAAAGACATATCCAGCCTTAGCTCAGCACCCACGTGAGGGACAGATGTGGAATGGCTGCCGCAGGCTGCTTCCCTGAGCAGCCATGCCATGCCTCCAATGCACCTCCCAACCCCTGTCTCCCCGCAGCCAGAGGCTGCTAGCAGTGCCAGGGGTGTACCATCAGCGCCCGCCTGCACAGATAACCGAGAGGATTCCCAGCAGTTGGGGAGCCCCCCTTCCTCACCCCTGCTCTGCTACTGCCTCCCCTTCATCTTTAGCAGCAGTTATTTGGGGCAGGCCTGTCCTCCCCACCAGCCCTCTGGAAAAAAAAAGAAACACCACACAACAGCCTAAGCACACAGAGGGGCTCAGCATCAGCAGAAGGAGCACGGACTGAAGCCTTCCAAGTGTTTGGGGGGGGGAGCAGTGTGACAAGAGCAGGGCAATCTGCATGCAGGCAGATGCTCAAAGCAGCTGCCTGCCTGCTGTTTTGGACAGAAAAAGCATTTCAGGCTTCAGGAACTACTGGTCTAGGCCTTCCCTGCGTCTGGATGCAATGTCACAGGCACAGTGCCTGCGTGCAGGCACCATTTTATGTCCTGCCCGAGCCCTCAGGAAGGTGTGGGCAGTGGGGCACAAGGGGGTACAAAGCCTATCGCCCGGAGCACAGGCAGCTCCGCTCTCACCCCCCTGTCCTCTCTGTTTACCCCAGATGCTCCTTTCCCAGTTGCTGCCCCTGGACCCCAAGTCCACGCTGGCCGAAGAGGACACGAAGGAGGGGTCCAGCTTTGGCCCTCAGTTGCTCTCCTCCACCCTCTCCTTCCTCCCGGCGGGGGCTAGAGCTGCCCGTCCCTCTCTCTGGCGCAAGACCCTCACCAGTCGCAAGTGGGCACTGCCTGGGGATTGGGCCTGGAAGGCCGTGCCCAGGGGCTGCTTTGGGCTGAAACTAGACCGGATCGGGACCTTCAGTGGTTTGGGGTGTTAGCCTTGGCGGGCTCCGAGGTGAGAGGGCCCGCAGCGAGGGTTTGAACGAGTGGGCAGGGAAGAATGGGAGACCTGTGAGCACGGATGGTGGGAAGGATCAGGACTGGGGGGATGGGGGCCACCCCCTGCCTGCAGCTGGGGCCAAGGCTGAGACGTGGGACCACCCGTGCTACCACGGGCCCATCTGGGGCTGCGAGAGCAGCCACTGGGAGGCTCACCAGCCCCGCTTCTCTGCAGCCAGAGGAGACACGTCTGCCTGCAGCACCAGCTCAGGAACCGGCATGGCGTGCTGCCTGCAGCCAGAGCGCAGAAGCTCCTGCCTTGAAGGAGAGCGGTGGTGGCGGGGAAGCGGCATGGCAGTACGAGGAGGAGGACCCTTGCTCCACTGGCAGCCCCCTCCCTCCTCTCCGTGCTTGAGGACTCGCTTGTTAATTAAACAGAGCTGTACTAATTTCCGCGTCCAAGCCTCCACAAGCGCCCGTGGCTGCCGACCGGGGCTGGGGGGCTGGCAGCAGGGGGCAGGCTGGGTGATGGCAGCAGAGACTGCAGCCCCCAGCCCCACGCGTGGGGGCCATGTTGGATGCGCGCCGCCATTCCAGGTGGGCCGGGCAGCACGCGCGGCTGCAGCATGGTGCTGTGGCAGAGGGGGGCGGGGGGAATGGACGGACAGCGGGCAAGATATCGACCGGTCGCAGGGGCAGAAGGGCTGTGTTGGCTCATCCCAGCCACACTCTGCCCCCCGGCACAAGACACCCGGCGCTGCAGTGTTTGCCAAGCAAACACAGGGGCCTCCTGTTTGTGCAGAAGCTGGCCTTGAGAGCCCGCCCCAAGGCTCTTGGTGGGCTGCACCTCGGGCACTGTGAACCCCAGCGCAGGCTTGCACCCCTCCAGCCCACCACTGAACCATCATCCCCTGGCCTTTAAGAAAAGGTCGTAACCTTGGCTGGGTCTAAACATAGCCGCTGGCCCCTCAGCAGCACCGGGAATAGCAGTGGTATAAGGAGAGTTGGGTTACGTTCGAGCTGTGTGACCCCCCCTCTGTCCCCCGCCCTGGTACCTGCATGGCTCTCCCAACCTGCTTTTCCATCCTCATCTTCAAATCCCTGCCAGAGCCCTGCTCAGCCGAGCAGCCACAGGGACAGCCCTGCTCTCACCACTCCCCATCTGCATCCCACACCCTCCACGGTCTCTCCCTCCCGAGGGGAGGGAGGCTTTTGGTCTTTCGGGCACCTGGGCTGTGCAAACCCTGCCGAGCCAAGCCGGGGGGATGCAGCCCGGCACGGCTCAGGCGAGGGAGCCCGGCATGGGGAGGTGATGAGCCGGGCAGCGGCGGCAGCCATGCCGGGAACGCTGCCTTCTCGCAGGCAGCCGGCGAAGGGGGAATGAGAGAGCTGACGCAAGGCCGGCAGCCGGGCAGGATTTCCGCCATCACGTCCCGCGGGTAGCGGCGGTGCCGCAGTGCCTCATTAAGATGGTGCTCACGCTGCAGAGCGTGACCTGCCCACGGCCCCAGCCACAGCACGCCTGGCTAAACCCACTCAGGGGAGCCAAAGGCAAGCGGTGGGGGGTCCCCACACTGGGGCTGAGAGCGAGCCCCCAGCCCACACCCACTGCCTC